CAATTGTACACAAGTTGCATAAACAATTTGGTCATGCTTCGGTCAAAAATCTACAGAAGCTAATACAGCGGTCAGGAAACAGTACTGAAGTGAAAACTGAAATTATTGAAAAGATTGTGGCCAGTTGTGATGTATGTAACAAACATAAAAAGACACTGGCAAAGCCAGTTGCTGGACTTCCCATGGCATCAGACTTTAATGAAGTGGTTGCAATGGACCTTCATCAACTTGACCAAAACATGTGGTATATTCACATGATAGACATGTTTACAAGATTCAGTGCAGCAGCAGTAATCAAGAATAAGACTGCAGAAACGATTGTGGATAAATTTCTACAACACTGGATTGCCATTCATGGAGCACCTATGAAGATACTCACAGATAATGGACGAGTTCAACAATCAACAGATGCATGATTTATGTCAGAACTTCAATGTGGAAGTGCTTACAACACCTGCTTACAGTCCATGGTCAAATGGAATAGTTGAGAGACACAATCAAACATTGACACTTACACTGAACAAGATAAAAAGCAAGAAAAATTGTAACAGGGAAATAGCATTGAGCTGGGCATTATCAGCAAAGAATGCTCTATGCAACATTCATGGCTTCAGTGCATATCAACTTGTCTATGGTAGAATCCAAACCTTCCATCAAACTTGACCAATAATCCCCCAGCATTGGAAGGAATAACATCCAGTACAATTGTTGGGAATCATATCCGAGTATTGCATTCTGCTAAGAAAGCTTTCACTGAAGCAGAGTGTGACGACAGGATAAGGAGAGCCCTGAAAGCACAAGTGAGGCCCATGGAGGGAATATACAGCATGGGAGAGAAAGTATACTACAAGTTCCCAGGTAAAGAAGAATGGAGGGGACCAGCCAGAGTTATTGGTCAAGATGGAGTTGTGGTTTTTCTCCGACAAGGTGGGATGGTGATCAGAATTCACAGGAATAGAATGAGAAAAATCAATGAAGTTGAGACTCTTGACATTAAAAAGGGGGAGGAAGAGAAATGAAAGAAAATGTGCCAGAAAGATGTGATGAAAAAGAAGTTTGTTGTGATGATAAGGAACAGTCAAGTTGGGAAGAAATTGACCTTGGTGATCTCGAGACAATGAAAGATCAGAGAGAGACAAAACAGGGTGTAAGTAAGACCAAACTGAACTTTAGTGTGGGAACGTCCATCAGCTACAAGAATGATGAAACAAGGGAAGTCATGACAGCTAAAATTATCAGCAAGGCTGGGAAAGCCACAGGAAAGAATAGATTTTGGTTTAATGTTGAGTATACTGATCCAAAACAATATTTAGGTGTTCAGCAATCTCTAGATCTTAGTAGAGTCACAGACTTGAAGGTGAATGATGAAATACAAGAACAGAATTCAGAAGATGAAATTGATGATTCTGTCATGATGTTAGAAGATGTTTCTTGGATGGAAGCAAAGAGGCAGAGTTAGACAGTTGGAAAAGAAATCAAGTATATGAAACAGTTGAAGATACTGGACAGAAATGTGTGTCGATTTAGATGGGTATTGACAGTTAAAGAAAGTGAGAGTGGAATCAAACTGAAAGATAGACTGGTAAGGGTTTTGAAGATGGAGCTTCAAAAGTAGTGCAGTCAGATTCACCAACATGTGCTGGAGAAGCCTTGAAAAATGATAATTGCTGTGATGGTCAACAAGCAGTGGACACCTCATGCTATGGATATCAAGACTGCCTTCCCACAGGGGCAATCATAGACAGGGATGTGTTTGTTAGACCTCCGAAGAAGTAAAACATGAGAGGAAAGGTCTGGAAACTCAACAAGTGTGTATATGGTTTAAATGATGCTTCACGCTGCAGTGGTATTTCCGTGTGAGAGAAAGTGATGAAGGAACTTGGTGCAGTCGTGTCAAAGGTTGACCCAGCAGTGTTCATATGGTGCAGTGATGGAATTGAAGGTGTGCTTGCATCACATGTTGATGACTTCATATGGGGTGGAAACAACAGATTCGTTGAAGTTATACAGCAAATGAGAGCAATTCTTGATGTTGGGAAGGAGGAGATAAAAGCTTTCAGATATCTAGGAATGCATCTTGAGTCAGATGAGGATCAAGTCTTGCTACAACAGAGTGGATACAGTGACAAACTTTCCTTTATCAATATTGACATGGCTAGAGCAACTGACAAGCAACAACCAGTCTCAGAAGAAGAAAGAAAGGTAATGAGGTCTCGGTTAGGGCAAATACTCTGGTTGGCTCATCATACTCGCCCAGATATTTTGTTCTAAAACAAGCTAGGTTATCAAGTTGTATAAAATCTGCAGTTGTGGCCAATCTCCTTGAAGTGAACAAGGTCATAAAACAGATTAAGAGTGAGAATGTTGTTCTGAGATATAGGAAGCCAGATGGAAAACTGAAACTGCTGACATACTCTGATGCCTCCTTTAGAAATCTACAAAATGGAGGGAGTCAGGGATCATATGTGATCTTCTTGATGAATGAACAAGGAAAGGTGTCGCCAGTATGCTGGAGTTCAAAAGAAACTGAAACGAGTTGTTGGCAAGTACTTTGCAGCAGAGACATTAGCAATGGCAGATGCAATTGATACAGCAATATATATGTCAACATTGTATGCTGAAATTGTTTCTCGAAAAGGTGAGCAATCAGAAATGTTGTCGATTCTGTGTTTGACAGACTGTATGTCAGTATGGGGAAGCTGTTCATTCCAATACATCTGTGACCGAGAAGAGGTTAAGAGTGGAGATAGCTGGCATCAAGGAACTTCAAGATGAGGGATGGTTCATATTAAATGGGTGAATCAATCTGAACAGTTGGCTGACTGCATGACAAAGAAAGGAGCTTCACCAGTTCGCTTTTGCAAGCTCTACAAGAAAGCTATATTAATATAGTGACATAAGGCTGTGAAGAAACTGTGAAAGTGAAGAGACTACAGTGTTGTGATATAGTGACTGTAAAATAACAATATATATATCACTGAAGAGAATCTTGTCATGGTAAAAGACAGATGTAATGAGAACTGTGACTGTGGATGTCTATACCAAGATCAGGACTTTTATCATGTGTATTTTAAAACAAAACAAAATGACAAAAATGTGTTTTGAGCAGTTTTAATATATTTCAAATTTTTATATAAAAAAAATAGTTGAGATTGTAAATAGTCTCGTCTCGTCGATCACAAGAGTATGCGTGATCTCGTTGATCACGAGAATATACGAGGAGGCCATTTTGGATGTTTCGGGTCAGTGCGCCGTGGAAGTGTTACCACGTGCGAGAATGGAAAATAAAAAAGAAGAATTTTAGCTACGAGCATTGTGTTATCTATCAACTGATAAGTTTAAAGTTTTATCAATCTCCTGAGTCTTGAAAAAGGGCTCCATATTATGTCCATAAAAACTCTTGGCATTGAAGAACGGTAAATGGGTAGGATGGGTTTTAGTAGATTTGGAGTAGGCTGTATCCAGTTTAGCAGGAACGGCTGCGATAGGATCCATAGGAGGCACGGTGATATGATCTACATCATCATCTTACATCAGGTAAGTTTGGGCTGCATCCTCGTTCTTAGAGGGGGAGGCCAGTTGTAATTCGCTTACCATCCAATACCTTATCTCAGCCTGTGAGAAAATGATACCATCGTCCTCCTCTGACGATGGTCGATGTCGGAGTCCCTCGATCTGTAAGAAGATCTATGTGAGGACTGAGGAGAACGGACTGACGAGTGGCTAGTGTATGTAGACCTTGGAGAAGACATCCTTTGGAGACTGTGGGCTTCGTGGAACGGTGTGATGGCTTCATGAGACGCTCTGGACTTCTCGAACGCTGAGGGCTACGGGAACGCCTTCGGGCGATGTAGAACACTTAGCCTTCGCGCCCCACGCCAATGTCTGGAGTCAGTGTCCGATCCGGCATATGAGCGCTTGCTTTCGCGAACGCCTAACCGTGCATGACAAGGTGTGTGCTCAGCGAAGCGCCCTTCTCCCGAAGCTCTTGTTAAGGTGAGGCTCTAGTTCTCCGGAGGGCGCCCTGGGATACCTTATGCAAAAGAGCTCACTCCGGCAGGGTTGCCCTTCGCTGAGGCGAACCGCCTATGGGCTCAGAGGCCCCACGCTTCGGTAAGCTGCAAGGCGGGCTCTGAGGCCCTGTATGACTTAATATGGGGTGGGCTCTGAGGCCCGGTGGCTCTGAGGCCTCTGTAAGTCGTGGCGGTCTTCCATCACCCTCATTATATGGTTGATCAAGTCGCCTGAAGCGGTCTGCGTTGAAGAGGATGTCTCTGCAGAGGTGACGGGACCCTCAGATAAAATTTCTGGTGATAGTGTTGGCATGTCCGTTGTGTGTTCATCTGGCGCTTGAGGTGACAGTCGCAGAAACGGGCCGCTTCTTGTGACGAACTTCTGAATGATAATTGGCATATCATCATCATATAATGCTAATTCTGTAACTGGTAAGATATCAGAGGCAAAATTATTAGATTTTGTTGACTTCCCTTTAGATGAAGGTGTTCGCAGTGTACGAGATGATACGGCTGGTTTCCTCGACTTGGACTGAGAAGACGGCAGCTCTTGAGATGCAGGTCGCTTCTTGGACATAGCGGACTGCGCCCCACGCTTATTCTGCCGAGGGAAACTCAGGCATGCCACCAGCCGGGTATGTGGTCCTCAATCAACAGTTGACAAGGAACATTAATTTGCGATCTATTAGCCATGTTTGAAATCTGTTTACGAGATTTATCTGCCTTCCGGCCTATAAACGGAACATAAATATTTGTCAAAGCAGCAGATAGGTAAATTGATACACAATTTACAACGAGAATCAAAGGAACATGGAGTAATGCAACTAGGGCATTTTAAATGTGGATCGGTATCAGAATAACGAAGTTTACAATCTGTGCAAATTTTCATTAATGTAGCCTACTGAACAATCACGCAAAATGTTGTGTTGTTTTTAATAATTAGACCGATTACTATGACAACCAGCAGGAGACATCTACAAAACTTACCTGTGTGGACTCACTGGACTGTTTTGAGGTTTCAAGAGTTCTGAGTTTGGAACTTGCCTCATCATACTTGGTTTCTGCAAGAACATGTTTCCTACTACAGGTACTAGCTGAGGTTTGTACTTCTATGATTTGTGACATTTTGGCCTTATTTTGAAACACAAACACTCTATCAGTCTATGTATATATTTCTTGCACTTGAAGATGTTTCTTTGGAAAGCATACTTGATATTATCTCTACGAGGGTGTGAAAAAGTATCAAAATATTACTGGCTAGGAGGCCTAGCTAGCATTAAAAGTTAGTTGCAAAGTTCATTAACTTCAAATCTGAAACAGTTTGCTTTTCCTGCAATTTCATTCTGCAAAGGTATCAAGAAAGTAACCTGATGCTGCAAATCTCGAGTTAAATACTACAATCACAAAGGGGGTAACTCTGAGCTTGTTGTTGATCTAGTGCCTAACAGTCAACTTGGGTTATCGGGGTAATAATGATCAGATTATCTTTGATATTTGGACTATCCATCATATAGAAATCAACTATTACCATGTTGGGTTCAGCCTTGAGTTTACAGCATATCTTTACACGGTACATGATAATAGTGAGTGAGTTTAGTTTTAAGCCGCGTTAAGCAATATTCCAGCAATATCATGGCAAGGAACACTGGACTTCACACATACCAATGTGGGGCATCGAACATATGTCATCGGCGTGATGAGCGAAGCTTTAACCACTTGTCCACACTACTGCCCCTACATCAGTATAGAATATTATATGTAAATATAGGTATTTGGGGAAATGTTTCCCATGCCACATACAACAAGGTATTTGGGGAGATGTTTCCCATGCCACATACAACAAGGTGAGACTAATAAACTGTGCTCCTTTACCTATATCAGTGAGGCGTGTCTGTAGATCACTCCTTCCCTGAGTCTCAGTCTCAAGTTGACTGTTGCTGTTGATCAATTTCTTCTCCAATTCAAAATACTGTTGCTCTGTTGAAAAATGCAAAGAAAACTGAATATCAAACGTCCATCAAATATGATCATGATGATACTGGTATTATCAAAATTAGTTAATTAAAGATGCAAAAAATTCCAGATAAATATCCACTGGCATGAGTACTGATTAGTGGTGGCCCGATTAATTGAAATAATCGAAGATTGGTCGCAGTGACTAAACGACCAAGCAATTGATCATGTTTTCTCATAATCGAACAAAAACAATTCTGGAACACTTGTTTTCATTAACAGTATTTTTCACTAGGTTGGTTTTGTCTGTTACATTTCATAAGCACTACAAGCTCGTTCCAAGTCATGATTGAATTTATCTTAAAGACTCTAAGAAATTTATGTTCCTAACATACTAGTCATCCTTGAAAGATGTGAAATTTTGCCCCCAAAACCCCAAAGAACTACATGATTTTTCCTTATTTTTTTGTACATTAACAAATTTCATAAATGACGCTAACCAATTATTTTCGATGATTGATCGGTTGTAATGAACCAATCATCAATTATGAGATCTTAACCAATTCCCAACACTAGTACTGATGACATATACTATACTGAAAGAAAATAGTAACAGGTGGAATGGATCACTCTATGGTAAGAAGAAACAAGGACACATAGAAAAGATAACAGAAGTTTGTTTTGACAAACATTTGTTTATTGAGGCATTTGGTGTTGTTTGTCACCTCCGATTCACTGATGATGTCACTGGAAGGAACTGAAGTCAATATCGGGTGTGGCCACCGTTTGCATTCACAACTGCAGCACACCTCCTGATCATAGAGAGCATGAGGCGATTCACATAGGCCATAGGAATCCGAGCCCACACCCTCAGGAACGCTGTGCATAGTTGGTCCACAGTTGTCGGCCTTGGTCTAATGTCATTGAGGCGTCTTTGGATCTCATCCCACAAATGCTCTATTGGGTTGAGATCTGGGCTCAGGGCTGGCCAAGGCATGGTTTCCACATTATGCTGCTGAAGAAATGCTTTAATGAGTCTGGCGGTACGTGCACGCGCATTGTCCTGCTGGAAAACGTGACGTGCAAAAAACGGCACAATATGTGGTCGTATTCGATGTACCAGGCAGCTGTAACACCATTCCCTCTTCCTGGACCGTGATTCTGGAAGATTACAGGCCCGATTTTCTGGCAAAGTCCGATTCCACCCATACCATAATGCTCTGACCACCCCAAGCGTTTCTCTCAATCACACACTCATCATTGAAGCGTTCTCCTCTCGACGCCAGACCCTAGTCCTCCCATCAGCCACAGATACGCAATTGCGACTTTCATTAGAGAAGATAACAGTTCTCCACTGTCTCTGATGCCAGTGTAGATGTTCGCGACGGTGTCGTTGCATTAGCAGGACATCTACAGCACAGGTTGCTGGCTTAGAGGCATCGCCGAACGGTGCGGTCACTGATTGCGCTTTGGTGGGTGCCAATGGTGTTTTGAGCTGTCTCGGTTGCCCTATTGAACCGGTCTTGCAGGTGGTGACCTACGATCTGACAAGTCCTGGCCACGGGTGGTTACACAGGGACGACCACTACGTGGACGGTGATCTGTGCCGTTGGTGTTGTTGAACCGCTGTCGGAGACGTTCAATTGTTCTTACAGAACAATTGAAGTCATTGGCGATGACAGTAGCATGTTGACGTCCAATGGCCTGTTGATGTTGATCCCTTGTTAACCTCGGCATAGCTGCTGTAGTCAGGAAACGACTGAAGGATAGGTAGTCAAGCTGGGAATATATACCCTGAATGCACAATGCTGCGTTTGGTTGAGCTGTTCCTTATCCAAAAAACACTGAAACTTTTTGCAACCATCCAAAAAGTTGGTGTGTTGTACAAACTTATCATTTAGTCTTTGAATCATGTTTCTTAAATGTTGTTTTCAGTCATCAAGTGACAACTAGTTAATCAAAATACATCATTGATACCAAATCCTTAATCTAAAAAATATTCTAAAAAATTTCAATGCTGAAGTGAGTTAAAATGCTTTGTATATGTTTCTCACTGCATGTTTCTAAATTGAACTATAAACACAAGTTGTAACTCCGTGTTATCTGCTGATGTGCTTTAATGCAGTTGGCAGTATGTCCAAGATGCAATTTTGATGGTTTCTATTGGGGGGAGGGTTCACATTTTATGGTCATGACTCATGCTCTATAATACAGGGATTACTTTATCGGTAAAATAAGCATAAGCAGTAAACTGATAAATTAATGTAAGATGACAACAATCCACTCTACCATGTTTACACTATTTTGTTTTTTAATTGGCAAGTTCTGGAGGAATGAATAACCAGCTTTATGCTAAGTGAAGTTAATGAGATAATCTACTAAGTCAACCCCTTTCACATGTTTCAAGAGGACAAGGACAGTACGTATCACAAATTGTCTATTGCTTGTTCATCAGGTTTTAGGACCTGATTTTTTACATCAATGAGCAATAACCATTGTCTCCATTCAACACAAAAATTTATAAAAATCAACATTCATAAAGGGGTGCTTGATTGGTATGTGGTCAACAATCCTTATGTGAAAAGGCATATGTTTTGAAAAGGATGATATCTTACTCTAAAGATCACATTAGGTGCGTGATCATGATGACCAGAACCTACACTAAGCTAATTAAACACCTGACACTAAGGATCAAAGAGGCACACAAAAGAAGGTGAAGATTTGAGCCACAACCTGATCCAAATATCACTATTGTAAGCTGAGCAAGGTAAAGTGCATTGTTCCAAAATCCAAACATGTACTCAGTCCATTTGTCTCAAATTAATCTGAAAAAGTACGCCCGGTAAAGTGCAGTACTCCCAAGAGAAACACCAGTAATCGATGAAACGGTATCAATTCCACAGATTACGACGACAGGTGAACATGGTGAAAATTCCACAGATCACTACGACCGGTGAACATGTGAATGAAATTATCATGATCCGTCTAAATAATTTATCTGAAATGAACAGGAACTAACAAACACACATTATCCCCCCATCAGCATGTGGTATAAATGGATATCATCTACTAAAGTAAATTAGGAGAATTATTACAGTTTCGTAAATTTAAAAGACGTGCACGAAAACAGAGGGTGTTGCGCTGAACCGAAAATATCTATTTCTTACCCGAGTTTATACGGAGACGTTCATATTTGGCCTTAAATTCGTCTACTTCAGCTTCTTTGTTCCCGAACGCACTCTCAATTTTTCCCTTAATGTCATCAGATAATGATTCTAAGTCAGAAACTTCCAAACATTTTGAAAGAAAGACAGTACCCGCCATCATGGGGCATGTGTGATTGCGGATGTGGAAGAGTGGCGAGTATCAAGAGCAGATAACTCTGTGGAACTTGTTCTTGTCCTCCACAGACGGTAAATGTTTCCAATATGTTAAAAATCTTGACTTAGGTAGCTGAGTAGTTTCTATGGGCTGACAACATACAATCTGGCCTTCGGCGTGTAGTGTGTAAATATCACATTATGATTTGTATTATTTCAATCTGTTATTGATTGCTGAGTTTAAAGTTTTCCCTTTATCTGCTTGAAGAGCTTCTCCAATCCTCCAGCAGTATGCATTGGGTTTGAATTGTTGACAGTACAATTTGTTGCCTAAAATACTAAGAAAATAAGTCCCATTGCAAAATAGAATTATTTGCCCGAAGTATATCAGATTATAATATTTGTATGACAGGACACCTTTGCTTATTTGACCAAGGACCAAATTTTCATGCTATGCATCAGCTGAAAAGGAGTTATATTTTTGCTCAAGATATATTTTATTTTCTTCCTTAAAGTGGCATTTAGAAGCTGCTATGATGAAGTGTTCCTCTTTATTTTTTATTTAATAAAGTACCTGCTGAATTATGTATTTTATGTTTGACTTGATGATTTATTCTTATTGAAGGTAGCTGCAGAGACAGAAATAATTGGGGTTTCCACTGCTTATTGTTGAGGTCTGACAATGGTGCTCAAAGTATGTGTGATTGGGGCTGGTATTATTGGACTATCATCAGCCATTCAGATCCAGGAGAGAGTGGGACAGGGGGAGATAACTCTTGTAGCTGACAAGTTTTCTCCGGAGACTACAGGGGATGGATCAGGTGGATTCTGGAAACCTCACATGTTAGGAGAAACTCCAATTTCTGATTTAAGGTTACTGCTACTACTACTACTACTACTACTACTACTACTACTACTACTACTACTACTACTACTACTACTACTACTACTACTACTACTGGGCAATGGTGTAGCCTAGTGGTTAAAGGCTCTACTCGTCATGCCGAAGACCCGGGTTGAATTCCCCATTTCTGGTGTCCCCTGCCGTGATATTGCTTGAATATTGCTAAAAACTCACTCACTAACTAGCACTGCTTCTACTAAATAGCATCAACAATAGCAATAATAATGTTAATACTAAAATTCATGAACATATAAATTTATTTGAGAATTCTGACTGACCAATCATATAAAAAAATTCTAATTGGTTGAAGTATTGTTGATGTTGTTTCCAATGTTTATGTCGGCAGACGCTGGAGCGAGACAACATGGAAGCATCTGATCTCTATAGCAATGTCTCCCCTGGCAGCCCAGGCTGAAGCCTACATGGTGTCTGGCTACTCACTGTCCAGCAGGTCACAGTACCAGGTCAGTCAGTGCCATTATTGATACCAGTACTTGGTAAGTTACATCAAATACCCACATTCTTGTTTCATAATAATAATCAGAGTTTGAAATACCTGCCTGTCCGACCGCCCGGGACGGGTTATTTTCAACACAAAGTTCTGCCAGATTCTCAAATTCACCTGTCCGACGGTCGGGTTAAAATTTAGACATGTATATGAAGATATTCATCATATTTCAGGATAATAAATCATTATTTATTCACTCGTAAAAATAAATGATGAATTCCAATTGGATGATAAACTACGTTGCTTGTCAAACCTAAATTATTTGTGGGCAGGTAAGTTTTGGTCAGGGTTGGAAAGTTTTACAGCTAACCAGCCCTGTGGTCTGGCTGCAATGTTTGGAAGTTTCATACCCTGTTATAAGAGTTTATATGAACCCATCCTCTTAGTCTGTCTCCCAGACCCTAAAAATAAATGTAAAAAGGAGTTTCAACTCATGTCTCGAATGGGTAAGTCTAGATTTCCCCAGCTGTAGGTTTGAAATAGCCCTGGACATATAGGGGCGGGAACACTGACAGTCACAGAAAATAGAGTTAAGAATTGATCTCAGTTACTTTTTGATTTAAATATTTCTTTCATGGTAGATATATATTTTAAAAACAAGATAGCTTCATTTTGGTACTATATATCAGTCTACAATTCTGTATATCTCAAGGGCTAGCACTTCGGTACACCTGTATGAACCTTTGAAAGTAATTTGAGATTCTGCAACCTCGAGAATGGATGAGGGTGTAATGGATAAGTAAGTTTACTGGAATGTGAATCCAGGAGATATATAGAGGATGCTGTTAATCATACAGGGTAGTGACTAGGGAGCTACTACTGAGTGACGAGGGGCCAATTCTGTGAAGTACAATATCCATAGGTTGTATAAAAATGATGAAATATTTCTTGGGCATAATAATTTGATTTTATCAAATTGATGGAGAAAGAACTCTTCTTGTTTCAATTTTTAACAAATATTTGCACCAAACTTCCGTGGCAGGTTTATTTTTTAGAAATATCAACAGCAATAGAAACATCAAGTGATCCTCAGTGATGTACTTAGTAAAACATGTATCATCTGCATAGTGCATCAGCTTATCCAACAAACAATGTTCATGACCAAAAAGCAGAAACCTTGAAAATGAGATGAAATAAATTAGGTATATTTCTGTTGAATGAAAATTCAAACAAAGTCCATTGATACAGAGAAATATATCCCTTTTGTTTTGGTGAAGTATTGTGAAATGTAATGAGAGTGTATGCAGTTCTGACTCTTGTGTCTGCTTCTAACTGTAGGAGGAATGGTGGAAGGACCTTGTGCTGGGCTACCGTCATATGACTCCGCTGGAGCTGCAGATGTTCACTGATACAAAGTAGTTTTCTTCACCACTGGCTTCACCCCCGCTAGTGCTGCTTCACTCACTACTTGTCACAACTAATCACCCAACCTTATGGGGATTCTGGTTTAGATTTCTGGTAGTTTCCCAGCAACTGATGCTGGTGATAATATGTGACTATAGATATGATGGTATTGCTGTGTGACTTGGTTGATGCCGTATGGATTGTTGATATCAATCACTGAACTGACTGTCTGTTTGATTATATACTTGCCATATAGCCAGAATGTTTGCTTAAAGCTGTATCAAACAACCAACAGAGAAAACAAAAATATCACTAACTGAACTAACTGTACTGTTATGTTAGTGTCAAATTATTATATGATGTGTCAAAAATGTAAGATGTCTTACTTTCTCAGCATGCTTGATGTGGTCTTTATTTCAGGTCAGGTGTATTCTTCACAAGTGTTCAGATAAACGTTGTCTCCTATATGGACTTCCTGTTAAGAAGGTAACAATCTAGACCCATCACCAGGTGTTGAGTTGGTCTTTCAACCAGCAGCCATATTTGCCTGCTGTTTCATTTGTCTTGGTATATATCTATATTTTTCTACATGCTAATTAAATTTACATAAGCTATAAGTCATGTGTTATATTCAATATTCTTTCAGATTTCAGAAAAATGGTGGAAAGATCCTGAGGAAAACTATCACCTGCATTGACGAGGTTGCTATTAATTTTGATTGTACATTGTGTTTTTATTCTCAATTAAAATAAGACAAATGCATGGGAGGAGTTAGTCAGAGCGGAAGACAAGCGTCATTGAGAGACAACTTACGTCTAGCATAACTTTTAGCACAACTTTTATATATATGTATCAAATATTTTGTAAGGCCTCTTTGCCAAGTATGACTGATGTGATGTGAGTTGTAATGATGCTGCAGGTGGCCTGTGACTACGATGTTGTTGTGAACTGCTGTGGGGTCAGAGCCAGGCATCTACTCCATGACTTTGAGGTCACACCAGTCAGAGGTCATCTCACCAGGGTCAGTAAGACACCATACGTATCTCATCCTACTGTAGAGCTGTGAACAATGTTACAGTTACATCATGGCGTGACAACTAACTGTGGGAAGGGTGCTGAAAGTGATTCAAGTAAATAAACTATGAAGAGTGATTCAATTTATATGTTAAACAATTTGGTGATGGCTAACAAAGGATCATAATGGTGGTGAATGAGAGACTTGGCACCTGGAGGCTGGGACAGCAAGGTCACTTTGACCTCTAGGCTGTGTGTGTGTGCGTGCGTGCCTGTAGAGCTAAAGACAAGTGCACATGGTTGCATCCAAGTCACTTCAGAGCTCTTCGAAAGACCATCAGACCAATTCTGGTCACCGTTTAAGAGCATCCTCTGTTCTAGGTTCAGGCTCCATGGGTGAAGCACTTTGTCTTGAAGCTGGATCCAGGGGAAGAAGCATTTGTGTTGCCGGGGTAACCGTATGCACCATGTTCAAAACTGTACTCATGGTAGACAGTAATTATTCTTGTAAACATTTTGCAAAGAACAAAACTGTTAAGATTTAAACAATTCTAAGACACAGAGAGAAAGCTCTGGAAGTTCTTACTTTATATCTTTCAAAATCCGTAAAGCTAGAAATATAAAACTGCCTTGCAATAATGTTTATGGTGAAAAGGATTGAAAATATACCAATAAATGTTGTGGCTCAGTGATGTATACTAATACTGCATTGTATCATTAGTCAACAATTGGTGTCTGTTTGAAAGGGTGATGACCTCAGTGTTAGGTGGCGCAGATGAGGTCGGCAACTGGAGTAAAGAGGTCAGGGATGAAGACAAGAGAACTGTGTGGCAGAGATGTTGTCAGCTGATGCCGAGTCTGCAGGTAGTCACAATGGGTGTATATGTTTCATATATATGTTATATGGTCTCTGCTTGGAGATGAAGATTTCAGTATATCACTCATCAGATGGAAAGGCCACAAAAGTCTAACACCAAAGACTGCCAGTATTTACTGACATTGTGGTTGTACCTGTACCTGGTGGGTGATTGTAGTTGTACCTGTACCTGGTGGGTGATTGTGGTTGTACCTGTACCTGGTGGGTGATTGTGGTTGTACCTGTGCCTGGTGGGTGATTGTGGCTGTACCTGTACCTGGTGGGAGATTGTGGTTGTACCTGTGCCTGGTAGGTGATTGTAGTTGTACCTGTGCCTGTGCCTGGTGGGTGATTGTACCTGTGCCTGGTGGGTGATTGTGGTTGTACCTGTGCCTGGTGGGTGATTGTAGTTGTACCTGTGCCTGGTGGGTGATTGTGGTTGTACCTGTACCTGGTGGGTGATTGTGGTTTTACCTGTACCTGGTGGGTGATTGTAGTTGTACCTGTAACTGGTGGGTGATTGTACCTGTACCTGGTGGGTGATTGTAGTTGTACCTGTAACTGGTGGGTGATTGTGGCTGTACCTGTACCTGGTGGGAGATTGTGGTTGTACCTGTGCCTGGTGGGTGATTGTACCTGTGCCTGGTGGGTGATTGTGGTTGTACCTGTACCTGGTGGGTGATTGTAGTTGTACCTGTACCTGGTGGGAGATTGTGGTTGTACCTGTACCTGGTGGGTGATTGTAGTTGTACCTGTAACTGGTGGGTGATTGTACCTGTACCTGGTGGGTGATTGTAGTTGTACCTGTAACTGGTGGGTGATTGTACCTGTACCTGGTGGGTGATTGTAGTTGTACCTGTAACTGGTGGGTGATTGTGGCTGTACCTGTACCTGGTGGGAGATTGTGGTTGTACCTGTGCCTGGTGGGTGATTGTACCTGTACCTGGTGGGTGATTGTGGTTGTACCTGTACCTGGTGGGTGATTGTAGTTGTACCTGTACCTGGTGGGTGATTGTGGTTGTACCTGTACCTGGTGGGTGATTGTGGTTGTACCTGTACCTGGTGGGTGATTGTGGTTGTACCTGTAACTGGTGGGTGATTGTACCTGTACCTGGTGGGTGATTGTAGTTGTACCTGTGCCTGGTGGGAGATTGTGGCTGTACCTGTACCTGGTGGGAGATTGTGGTTGTACCTGTGCCTGGTGGGTGATTGTACCTGTGCCTGGTGGGTGATTGTGGCTGTACCTGTGCCTGGTGGGTGATGGTGGTTGTACCTGTACCTGGTGGGTGATTGTAGTTGTACCTGTGCCTGGTGGGAGATTGTGGTTGTACCTGTACCTGGTGGGTGATTGTGGTTTTACCTGTACCTGGTGGGTGATTGTAGTTGTACCTGTAACTGGTGGGTGATTGTACCTGTACCTGGTGGGTGATTGTAGTTGTACCTGTAACTACTGGGTGATTGTGGCTGTACCTGTACCTGGTGGGAGATTGTGGTTGTACCTGTGCCTGGTGGGTGATTGTAGTTGTACCTGTAACTGGTGGGTGATTGTACCTGTGCCTGGTGGGTGATTGTGGTTGTACCTGTGCCTGTTGGGTGATTGTGGTTGTACCTGTACCTGGTGGGTGATTGTGGTTGTACCTGTTGGGTGATTGTGGTTGTACCTGTACCTGGTGGATGATTGTGGTTTTACCTGTACCTGGTGGGTGATTGTGGTTGTACCTGCACCTGATATGTGATTGTGATTTATCTCTAAATCTTTCAGAATGCCAAAGTGGACCATCACTGGGTGGGTTTACGTCCCAGTCGGTCTCGTGTCCGACTGGAGACAAAGCATGTCACAGTCCAGGGGAGAAAAGTACCTGTAAGTCGAAAACTCTCATATACCCAGTACATGTGACGTGCTCTCATCATAGGTGTTGAATACTGAAAGTCATCTGATGAACTATTACACATCATTTTTTATAAATGAAATTTGGGAATTTACATTTGTCTGTTTGTGAGGTCTTATGAAAGCCACTATAAATTCATGAAGTCTTATTTCCTGACACCCAGTTGTTTGTGTTTCCAGTGAAGCTGGGTAGTGATTAGATCTAGTATATATGTCATGAGAACGGAGATATGAGTCAGTGGATGATGAAGGTGGTTTAAATGTGACAGGTTATTCACAACTATGGCCACGGTGGTTCTGGTGTGACGCTGCACTGGGGGTGTGCTGCGGAGGTGGCTGACCTTGTACTCCAGGAGATCCAAGTCAGGAGACGCAAGGCCAAACTCTAAGGATCTCAACAGTCATCATTTACCTGGCTGTCAAGATGTACTACAGTCTATATATCCCAGATGTACTACAGTCTATATATCCCAGTCTGTATACAATTATCAGTCCATTTACCACATCTCAGGTCCAATTTCTTTACTTCTATATTTACCAAAGATCTTACAATTTCAATGAAACAAATATTAAAAGTATCAGTTGTAAACAGAAAACATTATTTTTTTAATGATTTCTGTCTGTGAAGACACCAATAAGGACACCTATAAACAGGGCGCTGTATTACACACACAAGGACAATGTTATACCCTAGCACACCTATAAACAGGTGCTGTATTACACACACAAGGACAATGTTATACCCTAGCACACCTATAAACAGGGTGCTGTATTACACACACAAGGACAATGTTATACCCTAGCACACCTATAAACAGGGTGCTGTATTACACACACACAAGGACAATGTTATACCCTAGCACACCTATAAACAGGGTGCTGTATTACACACACAAGGACAATGTTATACCCTAGCACACCTATAAACAGGGTGCTGTATTACACACACAAGGACAATGTTATACCCTAGCACACCTATAAACAGGGTGCTGTATTACACACACAAGGACAATGTTATACCCTAACACACCTATAAACAGGGTGCTGTATTACACACTCAAGGAGAATACCTGCTGTTTTACACACACAAGGACAATGTTATACCCTAACACACCTATAAACAGGGTGCTGTATTACACACACAAGGACAATGTTATACCCTAGCACACCTATAAACAGGGTGCTGTATTACACACAAGGACAATGTTATACCCTAACACCTATAAACAGGGTGCTGTATTACACACTCAAGGACAATGTTATACCCTAACACACCAATAAGCAGGGTGCTGTATTACACAATCAAGGACAATGTAACAAGGTGCTGTATTACACAATCAAGGACAATATAGCAGGGTGCTGTATTACACAATCAAGGACCACATAGCAAGGTGCTGTATTACACAATCAAGGACAATATAATCAGAGGGTGCTGTATTACACAATCAAGGACAATATAGCAAGGTGCTGTATTACACAATCAAGGACAATATAGCAGGGTGCTGTATTACACAATCAAGGACAATATAGCAAGGTGCTGTATTACACAATCAAGGACAATATAGCAAGGTGCTGTATTACACAATCAAGGACAATATAGCAGGGTGTTGTATTACACAATCAAGGACAATATAGCAAGGTGCTGTATTACACAATCAAGGACAATATAGCAGGGTGCTGTATTACAATCAAGGACAATATAGCAGGGTGCTGTATTACACAATCAAGGACAATATAGCAGGGTGTTGTATTACACAATCAAGGACCATATAGCAGGGTGCTGTATTACACAATCAAGGACAATATAGCAGGGTGTTGTATTACACAATCAAGGACAATATAGCAGGGTGCTGTATTACACAATCAAGGACAATATAGCAGGGTGCTGTATTACACAATCAAGGACAATATAGCAGGGTGCTGTATTACACAATCAAGGACAATATAGCAGGGTGTTGTATTACACAATCAAGGACAATATAGCAGGGTGTTGTATTACACAATCAAGGACAATATAGCAGGGTGCTGTATTACACAATCAAGGACAATATAGCAGGGTGCTGTATTACACAATCAAGGACAATATAGCAGGGTGCTGTATTACACAATCAAGGACAATATAGCAGGGTGCTGTATTACACAATCAAGGACAATATAGCAGGGTGCTTGTATTACACAATCAAGGACAATATAGCAGGGTGTTGTATTACACAATCAAGGACAATATAGCAGGGTGCTGTATTACACAATCACAATATAGCAAGACAATATAGCAGGGTGTTGTATTACACAATCAAGGACAATAAAGCAAGGTGCCGTATTACTCAAGGACAATATAGCAGGGTGCTGTATTACACAATCAAGGACAATATAGCAGGGTGCTCTATAACACTGAAGGATAAAGCAAGGTGCTGTATTACACAATCAAGGAAAATATAGCAGGGTGTTGTATTACAATCAAGGACAATATAGCAAGGTGCTGTATTACACAATGAAGGACAATACAGCAGAGTGTTGCATTACACAATCAAGGACAATATAGAAGGGTGTTGTATTGCAAATTCAAGGACAATATAGCAGGGTGTTGTATTACACAATCAAGGACAATATAGCAGGGTGTTGTATTACACAATCAAGGACAATATAGTAGACTGTTGTATTACACAATCAATGACAATATAGTAGACTGTAGTATTACACAATCAATGACAATATATCAAGGTGTTGCATTACACAATGAAGGACAATATAGCAGGGTGTTGTATTGCACAATCAAGGACAATATAGCAGGGTCTTGTATTACACAACCAATGACAATATAGCTGGGTGCTCTATTACACAATCAAGGACAATATAGCAGGGTGTTGCATTACACAATCAAGGACAATGCAGCAGGGTGTTGTATTACACAATCAAGGACAATGCAGCAGGGTGTTGTATTACACAATCAAGGACAATATAGCAGGGTGTTGTATTACACAATCAAGGACAATATAGCAGGGTGTTGTATTGCACAATCAAGGACAATATAGCTGGGTGCTCTATTACACAATCAAGGACAATGCAGCAGGGTGTTGTATTACACAATCAAGGACAATGTAGTAGGGTGTTGTATTACACAATCAAGAACAATATAGCCCCTAGGGTGCTGTATTACACAATCAAGGACAATATAGCAGGGTGTTGCATTACACAATCAAGGACAATGCAGCAGGGTGTTGTATTACACAATCAAGGACAATGCAGCAGGGTGTTGTATTACACAATCAAGGACAATGTAGTAGGGTGTTGTATTACACAATCAAGAACAATATAGCCCCTAGGGTGCTGTATTACACAATCAAGGACAATATAGCAGGGTGTTGCATTACACAATCAAGGACAATGCAGGGTGTTGTATGACACAATCAAGGACAATATAGTAGGGTGTTGTATTACACAATCAAGGACAATATAGTATAGCCACAATCAAGAACAAATATATAGCCCCTAGCAGGGTGCTGTATTATGCAATCAAGGACAATACAGCCCCTAGGGTGTTGAATTACACACTTAAGGACTAGGTTATATCCAAGCACACACTCAAGGACAATGTTATATCCAAGCACACTCTCATAAAGACAATGTTTTAGCCAAGTACACTCTTAATATAAAGACAACAGTATTTCCTAGCTCACCAATAAGCAGGGTGCTGTGTAACACGCCCAAGGATAACCTGGTATCCTAGCTCAGCAATAAGCAGGATGCTGTGTAACACGCTCAAGGATAACCTGGTATCCTAGCTCAGCAATAAGCAGGGTGCTGTGTAACACGCTCGAGGATAACCTGGTACCCTAGCTCAGCAATAAGCAGGATGCTGTACGACACACACAGAGACAATGATATACTCTAGCTCGGCCGCATACCAAGTAGTCGAACTTCTTGGCACCGATAAGCAGGATGTTGTGATGCAGATTGTGTTGGTTATATCCTGACAGCACTGTATTGTGTGTTATATCATAGCACAGTGTCACTTGTATCTCTCCACCAACTCAAACACGCATAAAAGAAATGCACGCCATGCTGTTTGAGTTGACGGCTAATGGGGGTAGCGAGGATCTAGTATCAATCCCAGTATTAGAATACGCTGGGATACTGTTATCATATGTCCCGTGAACCAGACAACACACTGGACTAAACATCTTAAGATTTCCCCCGTCAGTTTGTTAGACTGAGTATATATGAAAACCTCCTACGTCATGTAATGGGTAATATGTTATATACTCTCCCAAAAAAGAAACGCATCATGAAAATAGCATTTAGCAATGAATTAAAACGTGATTGATTTTACAAAAGGTTTTGCTCTGTTTATGAGTCCTATGGTGTTTATGTTTTGAAATATCACAAAAAAACGCACCATCCGTAAAATACCCGTATTTAACAGCATGATTTTCAATTTCGGCGTGTAGTGTCACAGAATACACAATTCGCATGCAATGCACGTGAAAGTTGGGGACCAGATAGTCTCAATGATGGGTATAAGAGGTTGATCGCTGTCTGTCGATTATTCACTGTATTTGGAATATTGTTGACGAACGCAAATGCCACGTCTAAGTGAAGCCAACCGTCATATCGCCATTGGTTTGCTTGAAGCTGGCCAGTCTCAACGTGCAGTTGCCCGACGCACCATTTCACGGCTCTGGGAGAGATATCGCCCGGTGGGCGACCTCGAGCGACCACTGCGGCGCAGGATCGCTACATCCGAGTACATCACCTGCGTCATCGAACAGCTACGGCGACCAGTACCGCTCGACAAATACCCGGATTTAGGAGGCTTTCCGCACAGACCGTCAGGAACAGGTTGAGAGAGGCTGGTTTACGCGCCAGAAGACCTTATTTTGGCCCTGTGCTTCGACAACAACATCGTCGACATCGAGTTCAATGGTGCACCAACGTTCAGGCATGAAACCTACCGAATTGGCGTAGAATTCTGGTTCAGTGATGAATCACGATTTCTATTGGAACGACGCGATGGAAGAATGCGGGTGTACAGACGTCGACGTGAACGTTTCGCCGACGCTTGCGTTCCCCAGGTGGACAGATTCGGCCGGGGAAGTGTTATGATGTGGGGAGATTTCACCTGCCATAGGAGAAGTGATTTGGTGATGATCCAGGGCAACCTGACAGCTCAACGGTACTGTGACGAAATCCTACGCCCACACCTCCTTCCAATCATTGATCGCCAGAGGGAGTTGTTTCAACAGGACAATGCCAGGCCCCACACAGCACGTCACACTAGAGACTTCCTCCAGAACCGCAACATCAATGTGCTCCCCTGGCCCTCAAGATCACCGGACTTAAACCCGATCGAACATCTGTGGGATGCCCTGGACAGACGGGTGCGACGCTGTAACCCTCAGCCCAAGACACTTCAGCAACTCGCACAGGCACTACAGGCAGAGTGGGCTGCAATTGGGCAACACGAGATTCTGAGACTTATTCGTTCGATGCCGAGGCGATGCCGTGCAGTTCTGGATGCCCACGGTGGTCACACGAGGTATTGACTTCAGCGCCACCACACGTCTCCATGTGACACTCAAACTGACTTTCCTCGAGTTGGTGCCAAAGACGGATAGGTTTGCATTCCCAGTGTGCAATTTCGCTATATTTCATTGACTCATAAAGCCTACAAGATGTTTCAAAATAAACATAAACATACAGTTGAAATTCCTATATGCGTTTCTTTTTTGGGAGAGTATATTATATTAATGATCACAACGTTGTACCTGATGAAGTGTCCTTCTTGTGTTTAACATCACATTCCAGCGTTCACTCGTCAGGCCGAAGACCTGGGTTCGATTCTCCACACATGTACGATGTTGAAGTATACTATAGCTCTCGTATAGAACATTTCCTCCACTCCAAATAACACATCGTAGGTGTGCTTCTCAACATGGTGACCATGCATTTAGTTACAAATCACAGATTAAAAGGTAACGGGTAAAAATGCAAATGTCATCTGAATTTACTGGAGGACAACACATAGAATGATGGATTTTTCTGTTTGACAGCATCTGTTGATTCTTGGAGACAAGACATACCAGTACGCACCAAGCGTGGTCCCCTCGCTAGGTAAGTGTTAATGTATGGCACTTACGACTATCTTAGCGCTTCGAAAATCTAGGC